GATGAACAAGTTTTTTAAGGTCTCAAACCTCCCCTGCTTCAAAGGTTAAACTTTAGGTTGCCTGAGGTCTCGTGCCCATCGAGCGTGGGTAAAGTCGGCTGATGGCAGGCATTGGAAATATATGATTTTTATGACGAGGGGGGAGGTGAGAGAGAGTGGTGATTAGGAACCACTCTATGTTTATTGGCAAGGACGGTTGGGTCACTGTATAACACTATGGGTGGAGTTATATATGTATATATGTTAATTTATGCTTATTTATGTCTAACGTTTTTGGTTACAGAAAAGAAGAGATTTAATAAATAAAATTATGGATGTGTTATGCAGTAATTTAGTTTGTGATAATAAATGCTGTGGCCTGTTTCATCCATACTAAGTGGTCTGTCGTTATTGGGGGGGTTGAATGGGGTTGGATTTTGTTCTAGGCTGCATCACGATTCCCCACTACGTACATACATGTAAACTCCTGCTTGGAGGGTCTGTGTGTCTGGTAAATAGCAGAGAAGCTGTCAATATACCTGTCTGGAGGTGTTAGATTGCCTCCCAGTGGGGAGAAAATTCATTTTGATTTACGACAAAGCTTTTTTTATATCAATATTTAAATCCACTCCTTTTTATTCTCTACTCACAGTATGGGTTATTAATAAACAAAGTCTATGGAGCTACGGACAGTTACAACATTCCCAACATTCCACTAAGTTCAAACTACCACTAAGTTCAAACTACAAATCCCAGTTTGAGAGTTGTAACTCCCAGCTATTTATTCTTACAGAAATAAGTAAAAGAAAAGAATGTCCCATGTGATAAAATTTACTTTTACTTACCTCCTAAACATATATAATGTCAATGTAGAGTTATCCGAGTCCAAAGGGGTACTTGGGGCAGCACACTACCATATAATTGTTCATTAAAAGCAATCTATTTTCACTTGTACAGGTGTAGGTCATTGATTTTTTATTTCTGGAGGAGAGGTTATTGCAAATTTTCAGAGGAAGTTGTAAATATGCACCTGTAAGAAATTGTTATTAAGCAGTCAAGTGCAAAATGGCATGTCAAAATCTCATGTCGTTCATTAAATATGTCCATCTGATGATAAATCTCAGACATGCTCAGTCTGCTTTTATCCGTGATTTCATACATCACCCAATGGTGTATTTAGGTTTTGTGCTGCCCTAGGCAGGACAGTGCTCGGGCACCCCGCCAATTTAAATTTTCCCCACCCCTTTCTGTCAAGGCCGCACTTTGACTGACAGACGCACACACTCATTGACAGACACACACTCTCATATACACTGACAAACAATGACATACACACACTCACTGATTTGACACACTGATAGACAGACATACACTTACTCGGACACACACTCACTGACAGACACAAGCACTGACTGACAGACGCACACACTCATTTAAATTCACTGACACACACATTCACTGAAACACACACACTCACTGACAGACACACACACACACATTCACTGACACACACATTCACTCACATTCACTGACACACACATTCACTCACATTCACTGACACACACTCACTCACATTCACTAACACACACTCACTCACTCACATTCATTGACATTATTTTTATTATTATTATTTTTTTAAATTTAAATCCACCCAGCCTCCCTACGTTTGGGATAGACGGGTGGATTTCTCACCTGTGGTCCAGTGGGGCTGCTGGGCAGGGAAGTGGCTGGACTTGCAGGCAGGCAGGCGGCGAGGGAGCACTTTCTCCTGAGCTCTCTGCTCAGTTCCTTCGCGTGCTGCAGAGTGATGCCAGGAGCAGAGCAGAGAGCTCGGGGGAAAGTGCTCTCTCGCCGCCCGCCCAGGAAACCACTGCCCACCTGCCCCGGGAGAGCCCATGGGTGGCCAGCCAGCCAGCTCTTGGGCCCCCATAAAATGAGGCAAACAGGGCATTTGCCTGGGCATTTGGGGGCAGCGTTTTTTGCCGCCCCCTGGAAATTGCCACCCAGGACAAATGCCTTGTTTGCCTCATTGTAGATACATCCCTGACATCACCCATTAAGTTTTCACTGAGACATCTGATTTTAGTAAGTTATTTTTTTATGCTACAAAGGATAGCTCAGGGGTGCCCAGAAGGTAGATCCCAAGATGTTGTAGAACTACAACTCTCATGATGCTTTGCATGCCTTTAGAATGATGTGACAAAGTGCCCTTCGCCACTTTGTCCTGGAGAGGCCTGCTTGCCTGCCTCCTCTCCTGCGACTATGGCCCCTGGGAGATTGCACCCTCTTAAACCAGCATATTGGGGCTTATGGACTTTTTATGGGACTGGTGCTGGCCCTTTAAGCACATTTTTGGGACATAGAGAAAATTGGGACAATGCCCCTTTAAGACGGTGTCCCCAGACTTGTTTGGGACACTGCCCCTTTAAGCCTGTGTCCCCAGACCTGGTTAAAACCCTTTGTTCCTGGCTATTTCCCACTTGGTTCAGTAAATGGGGCTTACTGAACCAAGTACCACAAAGGCAGACCACCCAGAAGTGGAAGTGTGCAGGCAATTTACCTCCCAGGCTCGGAGCCTGCTGTAGGTAAATTGCCGAACGCTGGGTGGCCGCCGTTCACGCAAACGATCCTCACGTAGCGGCGCCATCTTTATTCATTCAAATACGGTCAGCGGTGTGTTCAGCCAAATTCATGGAACTAAAATCGGCTGTAAATTTCCGCGAACACCGCTGACCTGTACCTTCTCCCATACTGAACTTCCAGCCGCAGAGACTAAGTCCCGTTCGGCGATTTTTTTCAGCCTGAAATAGACCGACCGCACAGCCCAAATCAATGGAACTGTTTTGGGCATGAAAATGTGCTTGCGGTCGGCCATAAAGGACTTCCATCTAACTTTTGATCCACCGAATGGATTTTTATGATTTTTGAGTATGTTTGTATTTAAAGGATGCTGATTAATAATATATGAAGATATGAAGTTTTTATGAATATTGGATGTATGGTTTTAAAATTATAGCACATGTATAGAAACTGTATTTTTCCTGCCTGTGTTAATTATGTTAAGTGTTGTGTACCATAATTAGATCACAGGCAGAGGGGAGGATTTTTGTGGGTAATTGCTGGGAGTGTTTTCTGTAATGTACGTGTGTTATTGGTTATTCTGTAAAACCCTGTGGGTGGTCCTATGTAGGGAAAACCTGCATAAAAGAAGGCCCTTTGGTGCCAAATAATACAGATCTTCTTGACCCTCAGTACGTAGCCTTGTCTCGTTATTGGAGGGAACTGCTATAATCACACTGGGGATTGCTATGCTCTGCATACTCCCTTGAGCTTTTAATCACTTAGCTCTTTTAAGAGCTGTTCCTGTTACGCTCTCCTGGAGGAGAGGTCTTCCCCACACGGTCCTGGAGGACAGAAGCTGATCCAGGGTGGACAGAAGACGACGAGACTCCAGTTAAGCTATCGCGGTTGTGGAGTCTGCGGTAGTTGTGGTGTCCGGTGCGGTGCTTGTGGTCCTCAACGCAAGCTAGGAAGTGTCCATTAACGGAAGGTTCCGTTACAAATGACAAAGCATCATGGAAGCTGTCGTTTCAAAACATTTGGGGATCTACCTTTTGGACACCCCTGATATAGCTCAATCGAACCCCTTTGTTACACCAGAAGGTGACTTTCCTTATTTTTATGTTAATTTTTAATTCATATTATTCAATAAATTATCTCCATTTCAATTGTTATTTTACTGTATAATCCCACGTAAAAGTGGATCAGCAGCTTTTTAATATATATATTATGTATTCATTTTTTTATTAATGTGCATGTGTGATAGTGAATATTTTTAATGTTCTCTATATTATTAGGTTTAAGTGGAATATCTGACCCTGCATGTCATCTCGTAAATTTTTTTGTAAACCAATGGGCATAAGACCAAATCAGTCCGGATTCAGTGGAAATCTCCCATGGAGGGAGCATGATTGGCTTTCAGCCTGGGATCCAGTCACGCCATGGTTTTTTTTTAAAGTTCCAAAACCACAAACCATCAAACCACTTGGGCTGGTTGTTATTCTGCTCCTCCCTGGCTGTATTGCCAGCAATTGGTATAGTGTAGCAAGATTTTGCACTCATTTTCCAAAGAAGTGAACTACTGAAAATGCATTTTTATCTATTCTACTTATTTATTTCACTAACATCGCCGAACTGAATAAATACGACTGCTGGAACGTCTTTCTCTGAATAGGCTGTTGATTATACAGTTCTCACGCAGCATGGAGTCCGGATTTATAATTCTGCTTTCAATATTTCGCTGGAAGATTTTCAAGGGCTTTCCATACTTGTTCCAAAACCGCAACAGTTACCCCACTTTGCCTTGCTTTGCTTTTTCCTGCTTGTGCCATCTGACAACTTAAATAACAATAAACGACTTTGTAATTCTGATTGTTTTGCGACAGACACCATAAGTTTTAAGTAATTTTATATAAGAAAAAGCATATACTTAGTGGATAAACATGCTTTATCTGGTGTACAGGGACAACTGCACGTTTACCTTTAATGTGTCCGCAGTGGTGCTCAGCCCGCTTGTTGAAGGCATCTGTAGGTTACAAAAATGAATGGTTGACTCACACAAACTGACATCATCGCTAGAAAATAACTGAAGCCAGATCTTATAGGGATAATCTAGCTTGGAAATCAACCCTGAGTAACATAATACAATATTTAAATATTTCACAAACAAAATAGCCAAAAATATTTTTTTTTCTAAAAACACGAACAAAAAAGGAAAAAATAATATAATCTGCAGTTTGCACTTTTCCAAGACACTCTTCCTTGTTGCCATTTGTTTGGCAGGAAAAAGTAAGTAGCTTACTGATTTTCAGCCAATCAGTGTTTTCTCATGCAAGAAATACGAGAGTCGCACTGAACATGCACACAAGTGATGTCACGCGCATGCGCACAGGATGATTGCAATGCCATGATTATGCATGTGTGCTTGTTGCATCTCTCAAAAGCTCAATATGACAAAATGTTTAGGCTCTCACCTGGTCTTTCTCGTCAGTTATGCTAACAGATCCAGGTCCTTCTGGTTCAATTAGCACTTCTTGTTTTGCTTCTTTCAACAGCATGACTTCTTGTACTAATGCAATGGAGGTCTCCTGCGATATGGCATAGAGTAAAAAAGTCCTTAAGGGTTTAAAATATCAATAAATCTAAAGGATAACAATCTAACCCCAAATCCTCTATGACCTGAAAATCTCAGTATTGTGTTGTAGAAAATGTTGTGCCATTTTGCATTTTTTGTGTGCAGTTTTTCTTAACCCACAGGTCATGACCATAAATTGCCCATAAATTGGTCCCCATGCTATTTTTGAGTTCGCTATCGTTGGATCAGGCACATCACACTACTCAGGCCTTTGGGAACTGCGTATGCCCCTTTTTTTTCCCCGAACGGATGGTAACCAGAAGTGACGTTATGACGAAAACCGGAAGTGACGTTCCGTTGTAATGACAGAAGTCACGTGATTGTCACTGGCATCCTGTCCGCACGGCCATTATGAAGAGGTCGGTTCCCTATGGATATCAGCAAGGTTACATCATATATCCACCATATTGGAGGAGGAAGGATAAAAACGCAACTACTATGTATGGACATGTTGGGAGAGGTTTATTGTAATTGTTTACATGTGTTTCTTATTTGCACCTTGTTTGTAAGGTATTTAAACCTGTTATTTGCACTTGATTTTATTGCACCTGAGGAAGACCAGTGAATTGGTCGAAACGCGTTGTGCTAGTACTTTTATGGTTATTTTCATTTTAAGAAAGAGCTATTTTTTAGCCATCCTTGGTTCCTGAACTTCTATCCAGGCAGATTTAAAGCTTTCCTTTCCCTGGGGGAACATCATCATTGCTGCTATTTATCGTATTGGAACTACCTACATGCTACTACAGTAGAGAGCCAACTTATATGGCTCTCGAAATTGTGAGTGCTTCCAGTTATACTTATATTTGATTATCTTCTTATATATGTTGCCCTATGAAGGTTCTGTTATATTTATTACAGATTTTCACAAAGTTATCCATCGTGTGCGCCAACCTCTCTCTTTTGTATCCAAATTTTATGTATGTAAGTGTTTAAGGTGACATAACACTTGTGTGGTTTGAGATGCACTAGGATATATTTATTGTTTTGTTTGAGCGCCATTTATACACCTTTTTTTCTGTGTTAAAAACCCTTTATTTACTTACCTTATCTCAGGGCTGATGTCCCTTGATGCTAGGTTGATGCTCCGCCCTCTCTGACATTCCGCGACGAGCAGGCACTAAAGCGCATGCGAGGCAAATTATGTGCGCACATTAGGCTTCCCCATAGGAAAGAGTTCAATCAATGCTTTCCTATGGGGAAAAATCTGACGCTGGATGTACTTATCCAGAGCATGCAGAGCATGAGAACGACCATCTTCAGATAGCGGACCAAAGTCTGTTTGGATATAGGAAGCGCCTCCAGTGGCGGTCTGGTAGACAGCAACTGAGGGCAGACTTAGTGCTGCAATTTAAACATAGCAAAAGGGACAGTGCACCTAGGTCACTTGAATGAGCTGAAGTGGTCTGGGTGCTATAGTGTCCCTTTAATAGTTGCTTAGCTCTAAGGCTTGATGTGCTGGTTAGATCCTTACCTGGACCATGCATTCGTGAAATGAAGAACTTGAATTCTCGGAGGCTTTGCTTCTGCTTTTTTTGGGTGACATGTCCTGTATATCATGAAAAGGGTCACATCTTGTTAACCAGCATATAATGTTCTTGAAAATCCTATAAAAAATAATTAGTAAATCTAAAAGCTAATATATGCAGCATCGTTAAGGTTCTCACCTGGCCTTGATCAGCATAATCCTGATCTGAATAATATGTATCGCCGGAGGAATGGCTGCTGCTTCCATTGGGCGGCACTTTCTCTATTTCCTGCAAAGGAAGATATTCTCCAGTTACTGCAGTTACACTCACAGGATTTATTCACTAATATGAGAATTTAAAGTGAATATACAATTTTACACAGTTAAAAGAAATCATAAGACAACATAGCGACTACTTTGTATAATAATAAAAGTTAAAGTGAGTAACACGGGTAAAAATGTGGGTGCTGTATGTGTGTGGGTCCTGTGTATATCTGTGGGTGCTGTATGTGTGTGGGTGCTGTGTATGTCTGTGGGTGCTGTATGTGTGTTGGTGCTGTGTATGTCTGTGGGTGCTGTATGTGTGTAGGTGCTGTGTATGTCTGTGGGTGCTGTATGTGTGTAGGTGCTGTGCATGTCTGTGGGTGTTGTATGTGTGTGGGTGCTGTATGTGTCTGGGTGCTGTATGAGTGTGGGTGCTGTATGAGTGTAGGTGCTGTGTATGTCTGTGGGTGCTGTGTATGTCTGTGGGTGCTGTATGTGTGTTGGTGCTGTGTATGTCTGTGGGTGTTGTATATGTGTGTGTGTGTGTGTGCTGTATGTGTGTAGGTGCTGTGTATGTCTGTGGGTGCTGTGTATGTCTGTGTGTGCTGTATGTGTGGGTGTGTGTGCTGTATGTGTGTGGGTGATTGTGGGGGTACATTACTTGATATCCCCCCTCCCTTCTTACCTTATGCCTGGGAGGGGGATCCTTGTTCCTGCTGCCTTCCCTGGTGGTCCAGTGGAGAGTGAACTCTAGCCCCTGTGGGGCTAGAGTTCACTCTCGCGAGATTTGAGCGTTGCCGTGGCAACGCTCATATCTCGCAAGAGGAACCCGGCGGAGCTACTGGCAAGAGCTCCGCCGGTCCTCTCCTGCCTCCCTCCCTGCCTGTGGATCAGTGGGGAGGGAGGCTGAGAGCAGAGCTGGCGCTCGGATAGCGTTGGCTTTGCATGAGCCGGCAGGGGAGATCCTGAGATTTCCCCTGCCGGTCTCAATATACATAGGCGTGCCGCGGGGATTAGGGTGTGCCCAGGCTTGTTTTCCTGGCACTATACTGTCCTTAGGTCCCCCCCACCCTCAGGGCCCCCTCCCGCTGGGCTGAAAATCCCTTCAGTCACTTATCTTTATCCAGCGCCGAGCTCCCTCGGCGCTGGTGACCTCTCCTCCAGCTCCGACGTTAGCTCCCGAGCCGAATGCGCAAGCATGGCCAGAGCAGCGCACGGGCGCGCATTAAAAACGCCCGTAGGAAAGGATTATTCAATGCTTTCCTATGTACGTTCTGCGTGCTCAGTTCGATTTTCGCATTGAGCGTCATGGAAGCGCCTCTAGCGGTTGTCAGGAAGACAGACACTAGAGGCTGGATTAACCCTGCATGTAAACATAGCAGTTTCTCTGAACCCAGACCACTTCATTGAGCTGAAGTGGTCTGGGTGACTATAGTGGTCCTTTAAATATATGTCGTTACCTTTCAGTGACTTACAGGAATGGACAAGGAGTTAGGTTATGTGTCTATACCTCACAACATTTCAAATGGACAAAAAGGGACACTTTAATATTAAGAGTGGGAGTAGGAGTGATGATTCTTATGCCGTGATTATGCAAGTGTGTTTTAAATCTCAATGCTTTAAATTATAGGACTTTATCTACAGACTTAGTTGTTTTTTTTTTTTTTTTTTTCAAATCTTAAAAAACAAGCAGTTTTTTTATCTTCATGCAAAATACAATATTTTTTTCCCCATCACTTTAGTGTCTCTTAAAAGCAGGCTTACACAAACTCCGGCCCCTCCAGATGTTGCTGAACTACAACTCCCATGATTCTCTGGCTATCTCTTTCATTCAAAGGATCGTGGGAGTTGTAGTTCGGCAACATCTGGAAGGCCGGAGTTTGGGGAAGCATGCTTTAAATCGTCGCTGCCATTTTGTTTGTTTAATTTCAGTTTTCCCCCCCCCCCATTCCCTAAGCCCTTTGTATTTTTAATGATTATCCTCCTCCCCCCTTTGGCATTTGTATTTAATTATATGCATTGTCTTTTCTTGCTTGTGCCGGATCTTAATACCAGGGCGCCTTCATTTTGTTCTTCGACCTCCATGCTGTCTGCAGTTAGTCCTCGGTGAGATTATTTTCACTGATCAGCTTGGCAACCGAAATGGAACCTTGCTTAAGCTCCGCCCATTGCCAACGATTTCCAGATATCACGGTCAAATTAAGGAAAAGTAGTCCCTACTTTATTTTCTTCTTCTTTATTTATAACAAAAAAATTAAGGTGAATTTCAAAAAAATAATTACAAGGGAAACAGAGGGGAAAAAAGTGACTCAAAGGTCATCAGATTTCGCATTTTGATCCTCACATTCTCTTTATTCTCTAATGTGCTGAGTGTTTCACCATTAAAGTATATTATGGTTCCTCCTGGCCCCTTATATTTGCCCCAATAAGGGAGATGAGATGCCCAATATCTTTGGTACTTTGTACATATGTCCAACCCTTGCAGAGACTTCTCATTGAGCTGCATTGGGAAGTCTGTGATTGGACAGCTACAGAAAGTATGGGCGGGGTTAGAAGGGGAGGGCTTCCAAAGGTTGCAGACAAGAGATCTGCAGCTTTTGCAAGCTGTTATAGACATACCACTTGCGGGAAAAAAATATATAATTAAATGCATACATGTTTTCATTGGGGTTCAGCTACTAAACATCGGTGTTTGTTTAAATTTGAAATTTATTTTGAATTCTCACTTTAGAGAATAAACATATTAACTAAAAAAACTGCTAAATTGACAGAGATATGTAGTAGGAAAAAGGGGGAAAAATAAAGGAATGCATACCCCAAAATGTCACATTTTAGTAACTAGCTCTGCATGTAGAAGATATATGCGTGTATCCACCATGTGAAAATCTTTAGCATGGCTCTTAAATTCTGAAATGTTGTTTTCTAATATGGCCCATTACTTGCTGATGGAGAGGATATGCATTTTTTATGATGAGCAAGCAGGTCTATGTCACAGGGCAGACCATATTTTAACGTGAGATGTTCCAACATTGACAATACCTTATTTAATAGCTCATATTCTTCAGACTGGTCGAGAGGCCTCGGGGAGGCAATTTGATCTTGTTTCCACATGTTCTTACTTTTATTAGGTGACTGGCCTTTATGGCTCGAATCTCCTGGAGGGGGCAATTGTAAGAATAGAAATTAACACTGTATAACTTATTCTGACAGGGGGCAGCGTGATATTGGAAGTGAAGTACAAAACAACACCTGATTCATTACTAGCTTTTTTGCGATGCTACAAGTAGTGCGAAACTCCCATAAGGTAGAAAAGAAAAGTTAACTTGAAGAAAACACCACCAACGGCACATGAGGTCTCCAAAAATCTGTGATTCTTTTATTGACTGGATCTGCTCCAATTACTATGAAACTTTTCCAATAACTACCTGAACATTAACAAGTGCCCTGAGCTTCCGTAAGCCGAGGAAAGAGTTTTTGTTGTAATAACAAACTAACAACATCTGCACCTTGGAGATAAACTAGCCTGACCTCACTGTTTCTATATTTATCGATCTATCTATTTATCTATCTATATTTATTTATTTTTATATAAATATTAATTGCTAATATATTTTTAAGTATATATATCTATATATATATATATATACACATACCAATGGAGTTGTGGTGGGGAAAAAAAGTGTTGATGAAAACCCCTTCCACCTGAAGTAAGTGTATAGTTAATACATTGCTAAACACAAATACACACACCAGTCAAGCCATAAGACTTGCTTTTCCCACAGAAATCTCACTTTAACAATGAGCTCACTACTGCAAGGGATTCTGGGTAGGCATATGCAAATGAGCTCAACAAAGAACCACATAATTCCACTTTATACATGGATTACTTTGAGTATATGTCTGCTGTAAACAACAGCTTTGAAACACAACTCAGGAAGAGGAGCAAAGCCAGTGAACTTCTCATGGACAGCTGTTTCGTTGTTAATGCAACTCATCAGCATGAGATAGGTTACTGGCTTGCTATGGAGGCTTGGCGTTACTTGTAAAGTACATACCAAAAGAGTTGTGGGGGGGAAAAAAGTGTGGTTCTTTGTTGAGCAAGAGGGATTATGTTACTGAAGATAATTACCTAGTACCAAAAGGATTAAGTTGTCAATTATGTGTATGTTTCTCTGCACAGAGGGTCATTCATTGGCTAAGTGCAGTCAGCCGAGGTTTTCAGCCAATTAATGGCTGGTGACATTAGCATAGGCTTCTGTATCCCTGCAGGGAATTGGGCCACGGTACTCCTACCATCATAACCACTACAGAGGGGTGTAGTGCTTATGATGGCTGAAGAAACCTTTTAAAGGTGGAAAAAGCCAAAAACTCTGAGATATGAGATGAGTCTTGGAGGAAAAGACTGATATATCTAATCTGTACATAAAGCGGTATTCTTTCGGAAAGATTTAGTGGAGAATTACCCACATCTCCTGGAAGGCTGTTTATAGCAGCACTACTATTGATCTGCGTAAATCCCATGTAGAGTTTTGTGACTAGCGTTTAACAATCTGTAATACCAGTGAAAAGAGTTGATGATCACCTTATCTTGGTCTTCTCCTAGCGATGCCATTTTAATCCAGGTCGAGACCACAGACCGTTATAAGATTCTCACACACATAGAAGCAGAATGTCTAATAATAAAATGTATATTTATTGAATTCTAATTTAAAGAGTGTTGCCATCATGGTCCTGAACGAGTAAAAGTGAGATTGCATAGGGTGTCCTCTATTCTTGAGTTCCATCAGTGACCATCCTAATTGGTCTCTAGGAGCAGATAACAAACACTAACCGGTTAGATAATAAAAGCCACTCGAGCTGAACTTTACACTTCCATTAGGAAAGGAGAGTCTTAGGGGAATAACTGACTTTGAAAGAAACAAAATCGATCTTAACAGGGGACAGTGGTAGGTTTAAAAGTACCCATTCATGTAACTGTGATGCACAAGGTCACTCAGAAGCTTAATTGAGCAGAACTTTTCAATTCAGTTCTGTTAAGCAAAAAAGAATGTGGATACACATTCATCTTAAGAGCCAGAGCTCTAGTTAAAGAGACACTCCAGGCACCCAGACTACTTCTGCCCATTGGAGGCATCTGGGTTCCAACTCCCATCACCCTTAACCCTGCAAGTGTAATTATTGTAGTTTTTATAAACTGTAATAATTACCTTGCAGGGTTAAGTCCTCCTCTAGAGGGACATGCAGCTTCTTAGAACACGAAAAGTGTTTTAAACAACGCTAGTCGTCCTCACGCTATGCATTGGGACCTCCAGCGTCGCCGGAATCCCCATAGGAAAGTGTTGAATAATGCTTTCCTATGAGGAGGTCTAATGCGCGTGTGCAGCCATTGCCGCACATGCGCATTAGGTCTCCTCCGCCGGCTGATGTTGGCGGGGGAGGAGCGTGGGCGGAGCCTGACCCAGCACAGAGAGACATCTGCAATGGATTCAGGTAAGTCACTGGAGAGGTTTTAACCCCTTCAGCAATGTGGGATGGTGGGAAGACGGGTTTGTTTTCCTGGCACTGGAGAGTCCCTTTAATACAATGTTAAACATTTTTAGTTTTTTAGTTTGACATGACCTATGTTTCTTCCCAATGAATTCCTGTATATTATCCCTTAATAGTCCTTCAAATATTTTCCCAGTCACAGAAGTTAAACTCACAGGTCTATAATTTCCAGGCAAGAACCTGGAACCCTTTTTAAATATAGGAACAACACCTGCCTTCCTCCGATGCTCCGGTACAATACCTGAAACAAAAGAATCTTATACGCTTAAATACAGAGGTTCACTTATTTCCCCACTTAGCTTCTTAAGTACTCGTGGGTGAATACCGTCAGGCCCTGGAGCTTTATTTACATTAATTTTCTTTAACCCCTTAAGGACCGAGGACGGTTCAGGACCGTCATCGGCATTTTTGCCTTGAGGACCGATGACGGTCCTGAACCGTCCAAACGGTCTGGGGCTACTTACCTGATCGCCGTCGTTCCCCCGGCGGCGATCAGCGTGGCTCCGGTTGTGGGGAGACTGCCTGCAGCCCAGACAGTCTCCCCACGGCAGATTAGGACCCCTGTGGCCATGTGATCGCTCAACACAGCCATCACATGGTCACAATAGGTGTCCATGTGTCTGCCTGCAGGGGGACTGCCTGTACTGACAGGCAGTCTCCCTGCAACTGTAAAATCAAAAAAAAAATTAAAGTTAATGGTAATAAAAAAAATAATAATAATTATATATGTATAAATATGATATATAGACATATATTATATCTATATAATATATGTCTATATATCATATATATATAATGCCATACTAAGTGTATTTTTATATTAATATGTACTTATATTAATATAAAAATACACTTATAATTAAATTACACACGTATATATATAATATATATAATAACTATATATATTGTATATATATATTATTATAAAATATAAATAATAAGTAATTTAAATTAAATAATTTTTTTTTAAATAATAATAAAAATTTAAAAAAAATTATATATCTATATGAAATTTTATTCTAACTGTATTTTAAAATTAATATATATATATTTATATCAAAATACACTTAGAATGAATTTGTATATATATCTATGTATATATAAATAAATAAAAATAATACGAAATATACATATGTCCATATACAAAATTACATAAATAATTATATAAATATACACGTAGACTTCAAATATATAAATATGCATATATATTTAAATTCTACGTGCGTATTTATGTAATATTTTTACATAATTCAGTAATTTTATTGATTGCAATTTGAGGGACCTGCCTGCCAACCCAGGCCGAAATTCCAGAGAATTTAATTTGCTAGCACTGTATTTTACCCTGTAACGTTCTACGACACCCTAAAACCTGTACATGGGGGGTACTGTTTTACTCGGGAGACTTCGCTGAACACAAATATTAGTGATTCACAACAGTAAAACATATCACAGCGATGATATTGTCAGTGAAAGTGACTTTTTTTGCATTTTCACACACAAACAGCACTTTTTACTGATGATATAATTGTTATGATACGTTTTCCAGTTTTTAAACACTAATATTTGTGTTCAGCGATGTCTCCTGAGTAAAACAGTACCCCCCATGTACAGGTTTTATAGCATTTTTGAAAGTTACAAGGTCAAATATATGGGTCAAATATTTTTACATTGAAAATGGCCAGGTTGGTTACGTTGCCTTTGAGAGCGTATGGTAGCCCAGGAATGAGAATTACCCCCATGATGGCATACCATTTGCAAAAGAAGACAACCCAAGGTATTGCAAATGGGGTATGTCCAGTCTTTTTTAGTAACCACTTGGTCACAAACACTGGCCAAAATTAGCGTTCAATTTAGTTTTTTTACTTTTTTCACACACAAACAAATATGAATGCTTACTTTGGCCAGTGTTTTCGACTAAGTGGCTACTAAAAAAGACTGGACATACCCCATATTGAATACCCTGGGTTGTCTACTTTAAAAAAAATATGTACATGTGGGGTGTTATTCAGAGATTTATGACAGATAATAGTGTTACAATGTCACTATTGATAAATTTTAAAAATGTATGTTTTGAAACCGCAATATCCTACTTGTACCTATAGCCCTATAACATGCAAAAAAAAGCAAAAAAGCACGTAAACACTGGGTATTTTTAAACTCAGGACAAAATTTTGAATCTATTTAGCAGTTTTTTTCATTCGCTTTTGTAGATGAGTAAAAGATTTTTCAAGTAAAAGTCAAAAAACATGTATTTTTTTCAATTTTTCATCAGATTTTTGTATTTTTTAAAAATTAAAATACATGAGATTATATAAATAATGGTATGTAAAGAAAGCCCATTTTGTCCTGAAAAAAACAATATATAATTTGTATGGGAACAGTAAATGAGAAAGCGGAAAATTACAGCCAAACACAAACACCACAAAAGTGTAAAAATATTCCTGGTCGCAAATGTACAACATCGCAAAAACAGTCCAGTCCTTAAGGGGTTAACTGCTGTAGCACCTTGTCTTGAGACATCTAATCACAAGTTATCTGCAAGTTTTTTTGCAGCAATCATTTGCATGATTTTGAATTTGATGTTTGTGTATTGTAGTGTGAGAAGGGAATTTAGCACCCACAAAGCCATCTTCAATGCGGCAGAGTCCAGACTTGGTAGTTTAGTTCAGGCAGTTTATAATGGGCTTGTCAAACTAAAACTTTATCCACTAAATTACCACTACCGTGATGTCTGTCCGGGAGACATAGCCCGTCTTGAGGTGATGACATGTGGCTTGCATGAGTGAAGATATACATCCACTTGTGTGTTGTGACCATCTCTGGGCCTCGATTGTAGGTTGGGAAAGATTTAATGCCTTAACCAAGATGGTGGATGCTTTGAGTTGCAAGTCGCTGGAGTGTTCTAGGCTGTTTGTGTGGGAACGGTGGCACGTACGGAAAAGGGTGGAACAGACAAAAGGAAAGATTATCATCTTGATTGTTGGCAGGGTGAATAAGGACTTCTGCTGTAGGTCTTGTAGAGAAACTGTGTCTTTGTGTGGTCTTCCCCCTGAAAAATGTATTGTCTTGGCTCCTTATCCGTCACTGTCATGTGGTTTGCCCTTTCTGTAATTAAGCAGAGAGGCCTCCCCACAATTTGTATCGAATATCTTCATGGGGGCTGCGAAAGTTAATGGCTAGGACGAATGTAGCAAAAGTGTCCTGTGCTTGTGCCAGGACCAGAATGGATGATGATGTCAACTGCTAAATCTTTAATAGACGCTTAAAAAGAAAAAAGAGCATAACATGAAAAAAAGCTAACACAAGTTATAGGTGATTTTCAATAATTATTTTTAATGGTGTAAATTCAGGAAAAGTTTTGGTAGCCCTTTAAATCAATCATAACAAGTCTGTAGGATATTTGAAGAGATCTTACTCCGTATCCCATATCCTTCAGTTATTGAAGGCTTTTCCCTTTAGCTTATATGGTAGCGCCATTTGAGTTGTAGTCTGCTTGAATAAATATAATTGTATTTATCTTGCTTGCTCTGCTGAACATGCTCAGAGTCTAGTTCACATGTAAACACAGGTCCAGAGCTAATTTTGAATCAATGCTTCCCTTGGGTGGCATCACCTAAATTAAGACTTTAAATTGAATAAATTATTAAGTATACTTTTCCTCGAAGGCCATAGGTTCGCTCGACTAAGCATTTATTGACGTCTTACTACATGCTGGTAAGCATGATAAAAGTACTGCTCTGAATGCTAAATTAAGGAGAGTCATCTTTTACCGTGTGCCGATCATCTTAAAATAAAAATCAATAGAACGTAATAAAGAGTGAATCAAATACGTACACATAGCAAGTTCTACATTGGTCAGGAGAGTTGGACTGAACTGAAACACACACACACACACACACAAACACACACACATATATATATATACACAAGAAGAATCTGCACTTTCCTCTCTGTGAATAATTCAAGCTTAAATCCTCATATCCTTCTGCATGAGGCACTATATTGGTTTCTTGCCAAGTTGAAGACAAAGAAAAGTCATGGAACATTTCGCAAGACTGTTCACCACATGGAATCTAATTTGCAGCTAGACAATTTGACATAATCTAGACTTGTCGACAGCAGGAAAACTCACCTTGTCAGAATCCTTTACTTAAAAAAAGAAAAAAGTTGGTTATACATTAATTTCCAGTTACCTTGCCATTAAGTTTCTACCAAATTTGCATTGGTAATTGAATCGCGCTCAATATTGAAACGCCAGTTGGCCAGTGGGGATTGAGGTCAATCATCATTCAACTGACAAAGAGAAGAATAAAGGCCGTCACTGGCCCCTTCTAGTTATTGACAACTCTCCCGCAGGCTATCTCTCTGCACAGCAGGAAGAAGATGGTAAGTAGCCCACCTCATGATCAATTATGCCAATGTGTATCCCTATGTATTATTTTGTAGGGTGGAGGGCCCATGGTTGCCATCAGAATTTGGAGAAACTCTTAAAAAAATATTTAGTTGGCACCCTGCACCCATTGGGATCTACCTTCCACAATTTTAAAATCAACCAATCAAGGTCACAGTACAGACAAATTCTGCCAACTATACTCAGAATGAGCAGATTGAGGGAGATAAGAAGGAAATTAAGTTAACAGGTATGATTTTAATGTCCATTCTCATAATTACTGTAGCGGAATGGATGCTCTAGCTACACTTTTATTCCCTTTTGTTTGGCTCTCCGTACACCCCCCGTTCGTTTACCAAACCAACTACGTATGGGTCTTCTTGTTCGCAAATCATGTTTAGGCTTGATTAGAAGATGGCACTTGCCCCATTCTAAATGTAATAGTATTGAGGCTTAATGATTAATCTGTGAGTAGGTATTCGTGGTTCTTTTGGATATGATACTGGAACACAAGGCTAACGTCCATTAACATATCAAGGGACCCCTTATCTAAGAGGGAAACTAGACATATGGCAAGCTAGAGAGTTAGTGTATATTTAAACCAAACTTTCTGGCCACTTATGTGTGGCTTCTCACACCTTACAGAGCAGTAGGGATGTGCATGGGCAATTGGTTCGGTAATTCGGGTAAGTAAAAAAATTATCTGTTTCAGCAATTCAGACCAATGGAATTCAGTTCAGTTCGGCACTTCCGAACTACCGAATTTCGGAACTTCAGCACTTCCAAACCTTGGCACTTCGGACATTCGTACACTTCCGAATTTCCGAATGGCATGAAATTCGTACGAATGTACATTCTGAACGATACGGATTGCACATGTCTACCAGTGATTTATAGACTATCCCACTTCAATGACTGTGTGCCTTTATTAGCCAAGTGTCAGTGAGAAAATCACCATTAATTGGCTGTTCTCTAACATCAATCACAAAAATTAGCTAATTTCATTGGACAGGGAATAGTGAAACCGGATTGGGCAAGCAAGCATTACATTGCACAAAAGTAATTAGCTTATTGGTCAAGATTCCTGTCATCATTCATGTAATTTTCCCTCCCTCTCTCTTGTTTTGCCACTTTTCAGAAATCCAAATCACTTCGGCACTTCAGAGTTTTGGCGCTTCAGAGCTTCGGCACTTCCGGACTACCGAACTTCGGCACTTCGGAACCTCGGCACTTTGGACATTCGAAAGCATCTGAATGTCCAAATGGCATGAAATTCGTACAAATGTACATTCGGAACAAAACGATTTGCACATGTCTACAGAGCAGCTCTGTTGGGGTCCCAGATTCAAAGAGGAATTAAGGCTATAAACCTTCTTAGCTCCCACGCAATCAAATTGTCCCCTTTTGAAAATGTATTTTTGGAGTGTTTTAGAATATTGTATATTTTTCTGTAGAGGTTCCTGGGAGGAAAAGCCCTGTATTATTGTATGGGAGACCTCATGTAGGTGTCTGTGCATAAAAGCTGTGTGTGACCAAATAAACCTGAGTTGACTCCCAGAATTGTGTCTCGTCCAGTTACTAGGGGATTTTGTCTCGGATATTTTACTGCTTCTTCAGCTACAAGGATTATACAGTGGAAATACCTATGCTAGGTATTGGAGCTCCACTACAACTACTGATTTCCAGACATTGGGGTCTTCTCAGGATGAGACGCTGTCTGCCCCAGTGAGCCTTAAAATGGATCCCTGTGCCATGTTAATGCGTCTCCCCCTTGATGGGCAACATATGGAAAGTGCAGCCCTGCCATAGGTACCAACAGTCCCAAATTTGCCAGGACAATCCTTCATTTAGTAGAGGACTGAGACAATTATCTTCCCTTCCCAGTGCCAACCTTCCAAGACGGAGGCAGGCAGGGAAAATCTTCTCCTTTTTTTGCCATCTCTATCTTGGAAGGAGAGCAGGGAATATTGGTGGTTATGCCCTATAGTCAAATGTTGCGGTTAGTAAATCATGTTACAGATCAGTCAGGAATCTTGCAGCATACAGACTGTACCTAAAACAATGGTTTTTTTTGTTTTCTATTTTTGTTTAATTTCACATCACACAGAGAGGGATAATAATAACAAGCGCAGCCATTAAAACGTAGATTGAGTATATAAAAAAAATTGCGATGTGAGAGAGTTTTAACACAAAGAGCAGCTGAAATCATCTATTAATACAGAGTGATGCAGTATAATCCACAAAATTGGCTGTCCCCTAAGTATAAAATCGGCAATAACAAGGCGGCATTTTTAAATTAACATGATGAGATTGTGTGTGTCCATGAAAACATGATGTCTATGACAATTCGAGATGAAGACCTCATTCAAGTTTGGGAAGAAGGTGGGGAGGGAATTAAGGAATGAAGGACAGACGGACAAATCTCTCTTATTTTGCCCACATTCTTCCCTTTAGTCGAATTTACTTCCCAAATAAGATACCCTTCTACCTACAGGTGATACTCGAAAAATGAGAATATCGTGCAAAAGTTCATTTATTTCAGTAATGCAACGTAAAAGGGGAAACTAATATGTTTTTTTTTTTTTACACAGTCCCAGGGGAAGCTAGCACCACTACATTTCTGCCCGGTAACTGGTGAGTACCCTCCCCTTTCTCCCCTTCTTAATGCCAGGGTGCCACATTGTATCCCCTTAGGTACCACACCCTTATCCCTGCCAGCAGTCATGTCCTCCCTTCCTTATGTTTCCAGGGAGGTACTGTAATGCAACGTAAAAGGGGAAACTAATATTTGAGATAGACGCATTACATGCAAAGCAAGATAGTTCAAGCCGTGATTTGTCATAAGTGCAATGATTATGGCTTACAGCTCATGAAAACCCCAAATCCACAATCTCAGTAAATTAGAATATTACATGCAATCAATAAAACAAGGAGTGTGCATAGAACAATATTGGACCTCTGAAAAGTATAAGCATGCATATGGACTCAGTACTTGGTTTAGGCCCCTTTTGCAGCAATTACTGCATCAGTGTGGCGTGGCATGGAAGCTATCAGCCTGTGGCACTGCTGAGGTGTTATGGAAGACCAGGATGCTTCAATAGCGGCCTTCGGCTCTTCTGCATTGTTCGGTCTCATGTCTCTCATCTTTCTCTTGGCAATGCCCCATAGATTCTCTATGGGGTTCAGGTCAGGCGAGTTTGCTGGCCAATCAAGCACAGTAATCCCACGGTCATTGAACCAGGCTCCAGGTCCCAAGTCCTGCTGGAAAATGAAGTCAGCATCCCCATAAAGCTCGTCTGCGGAAGGAAGCATGAAGTGCTCCAAAATCTCCTGGCTGCGTTGACCCTGGACTTAATGAAGCACAGCGGACCAACACCAGCAGATGACATGGCTCCCCAAATCAACACAGACTGTGGAAACTTCACACTGGACTTCAAGCATCTTGCAGTGTGTGCCTCTCCATTCTTCCTCCAGACTCTGGGTCCTTTGTTTCCAAATGAGATGCAAAAGTTGCTCTCATCAGAAAAGAGGACTTTGGACCACTGAGCAACAGACCAGGTATATTTTTCTTTAGCCCAGGTAAGGCGCTTCTGTTCAGGAGCGGCTTGACAAGAGGAATACGACCTCTGAAGTCAATGTCCATGATCCGTCTGTGTGTGGTGGCTCTTGATACATTGACTCCAGCTTCAATCCACTCCTTGTGAAAGTCCCCAACAAATTTGAATGGCCTTTTCCCGACAATCCTCTCCAGGCTGCGGTCATCCCTGCTGCTTGTGCACCTTTTTCTTCCAGCACTTTGGAAACATCCAACTTCCTTCGCAATTACCTTTTGAGGCTTTCCCTCCTTATGGAGGGTGTCAATGATGGTTTTCTGCACAACTGTCAGGTCAGCAGTCTTCCCCATGATTGTGATTCCTACTGATCCAGACTGAGAGACCATTTAACGGCTCAGAAACCCTTTGCCGGTGTTATGGCTTACTTAGCTGATTAGAGTGGGACACTGTGAGCCTAGAATATTGCACCTTTTCACAATATTCTAATTTACTGAGATTTGGGGTTTTCATGGGCTGTAAGCCATAATCATTGCACTTATGACAATTCACGGCTTGAACTATCTTGCTTTGCATGTAATGCGTCTATCTCAAATATTAGTTTCCCCTTTTACGTTGCATTACAGTACCTCCCTGGAAACATAAGGAAGGGAGGACATGACTGCTGGCAGGGATAAGGGTGTGGTACCTAAGGGGATACAATGTGGCACCCTGGCATTAAGAAGGGGAGAAAGGGGAGGGTACTCACCAGTTACCGGGCAGAAGTGTAGTGGTGCTAACTTCCCCTGGGACACCCCCTGGGTGTAAAAAAAAAAAAAAAAAGATTATAAATTTTCCAGCTTATATTACTTACACATCTATTTTACCTACCTTTCCCTCATCTGGTATCGGGAGAATGGCTTCAGTCGTGTCCAAGGATGATGTGGTAGCCTTATTGCAGGAGTACCTTGAGTCCCATGGAGCCGGAGCGTTGGAGGAGGTGATCGCCGGTCTGGACAACCGCCCCGTGCCTGCTGCAGCTTCGGAGACTTCGTTGATTTTGCCGCATTGGCGGTAGGAGGGCCAGGCGTTCCAGGCCCCCTACGCGCTTGTCACCCAGTCTGGTGTCCAGACGGCGAGGTCGACAGCGGGGTGAGCGGTTCGGCACCGCCAGGACTTCCCCGGCGAGAGGAGGAGGGAGCTGGAGGTCCGTGGATGGAGGCATCATTGGTGGACAAGATGGCGGCATGGCAGGAAGATCAAGGAGCCCACCGTCTCTTCCGGTCCAAACGGCGGGAAGAGAGAGGACGCCGGAAGTGATGGTAAGCGTCGGACGTCATCAACGGTCGCACCTGGACGTGACGCGCACTGTCGGCGCCCTGTCCGGGACACGGAGTTTCCAGGGTGCCGGACATAGAGGATGGTCGGCAGGGAGGAGAGGAGACAACCGGACGCACAACTGGACCTCCCAGGCATCCGGGAGCAACTCCCATCACCCAGAGGCAGCCGGTTTCGGTAATGTCAGCCTGAAGCACAGCTCAGGTCCTGCTGCAAATGTCCACAGGAGGTCTTGGTCGGATTCTGCTTCAGAAGAAGAGGAGGTTTCGGTGCCAGCAGTTCCCAGCTGGTGAGTTTTTACATTGCGCTGGTCAGGGGACTGGTGCCCAAGAACAGCCCAGGGAGTGGTTGCGCCTGCTTAGGACCCTAGTTGACAGTTTCCCATCACAGCTTACTGGGCAAAGGGTAGCCGCAGGGCAGGATAATAGACTTCCAGTGCAGACGGAGGTACAGGGACGTGCACAGGACCCTAGGGGTCAGCCTGCCGCAGGGGCTTTTCGCGCGGGTTCGGTGGGATGCGATCTTGCACCGTTAGGTTTACATGTCCCTATGGACATGCAAGAGAAAATATGGAGAGGTGAGTACGTGGATCTGCTGTCCTTGGTCTCTCCTGACAAGGATTCCGTGGACAGACCGCGCCGGGGTGAAGTTCCCGAGGAAGACAAAGGTAAGCAGATAACCAGAACCTTTGGCAATTGGTTGCAAGGGTTTAATATCTTTTCAAGCATCCTAGTGCGCCGTTTCCCGGATAAGGCTCCTTCTCTGGTACTTAGACCTGATTTGGGGGGCCTATAAAATCTACGGGGGGCAATGCTGGTATCGCTATGACCAGCAATTCCACCAAAAGATTGCGGTGTGCCCAGGTATGGATTTTGGGGTTCAGGATGGTAGTCTCTGGCTGTTAATAATGACCCTCGGTAGACCATCTCCCTTTCCAGAGTCTGCCGGAGATACCTCCGGCTCCTCTGCAGGGCAGAAAAAAGGCGTCTGCTGGCTCTTTAACGAGAGCCAGTGCCGGTGGTACAGTTCGTGCAGGTTTCGCAACGAATGTACTCACTGCGGGGGACTGCACCCAGCTATGCGCTGCTTCCGGAAAGGGAAACCGGTCACCGGGAAGGGTCCTTCTCGAGATGACATTCCTAGGGGAGAGGACGCCAGTGGACGTCCTAAGGATGCGCCCCTGGCTCGCCCGGTATCATAGAGTTTGCGATGCACAGATTTTATTCGACGGATTTCAGGTGGGTTTTTGGATTCCGTTTGTTCCTTCTTCATTGCCCCAGTTTGTGGACAATCTCCGCTCGGTTAAGGGCAAGGAAGATATTCTGCAGGACAAGTTAGACGCAGAGGTCCAAGCGGGTCGCATGGCAGGCCCTTTTTCCTTTTCCCCCTTTTCTAATTTATGCATTTCTCCCCTGGGGCTGGTTCCTACGAAGGAACCTGGTTCCTTTCGTTTGATACACCATCTGTCTTATCTGTCGGGAGGATCCGTTAACGATGACATCGGGAAAGATGTTTTCTCGAGTGCGCTATGCATCATTCGACAGGGCATTAGAGTTGGTGCGCCGTGCAGGGCCCTTTCATTTTATTCGGGTCACTCGTCATTTGCGCGCGGACCTTCAGGTGTGGAGCTCCTTTCTGGAGCGCTACAATGGTCGCTCCTGCTGGCTGCAGGAGGCTACGTCTAACTTCGAGTTGAACCTCTTCACAGATGCGTCTGGTGCCGTCGGTTTTGGAGCATACTTCCAGGGCCAATGGTGCGCGGAGGCATGGTAGGCCCGGTGGCTGGGCATGGACGTGATGTGGAATTTAATGTTTTTGGAGTTGTTTTCCATTGTGGTATCCTTAGAGCTCCGGGGGGAGGTTCTTCGCAACAGGGCGGTGGTTTTTCACACTGACAACATGAGCGTTGTCCATGTGATAAATTGCTCGTCCTCCAGTTCCCCTCCAGTTCTCGCGCTTCTGCGACAGCTGGTCCTCCTTTCTTTAAGATTTAATGTTTGGATAAAAGCAAGTCATGTCCCGGGTGTGCAGAATGTGGTAGCTGACTCTCTTTCTCGGTTTCAGTGGGACCGCTTTCGGGAGTCGGCGCCGGCGGCAGAAGCAGTGGGTCTTAGCTGTCCGGACTCCTTATGGGAGATCGATTTGGAGGACTGAGACGCTTGGTTGCGGACTCCTTGTCGGATGCTTATTGGAGATCGTATCAAGCGGTCTGGCACCAATGGCTGGCCATGTTCTCGCAGAGTCGGGTGCTGGGGTCTGAGTCAGGACGCCTGAAGGCGACCCTGACAATGCTAGAGACGATGCTCGAACAGGGTAAGTCTTGCTCCTTGGCTGAAAAGTCCTTGACCACTCTGTCTTTTCTCTGTAGGTTTATGGGTTGGCGAGACGTTTCTCAGGAGTTTGGTATCCAGCGAGTAATCCGAGGTTGGAGGCTTAGGAGGGCCCCGGACCCCCGGCGCCCGGTGTCAGCCGACTTGTTAGGGCAGATTCAGTCGGCGTTGGATGCAGTTTGCTTCTCGGAATACGAAGTATTGCTATTCCAGGTTGCATTATCATTTTGTTTCTTTGGGGCCTTTCGCGTGGGCGAATTGGTCTCCGGCAACCGACTGTCGATCCGCTTCTGTTGGCGGACATCCGGTGGGCTGAGGACTTCGTGGACGTTTTCATCAGACCCCCTAAGACCGACCAGGTAGGTAGGGGTTCGTATCAGTGCAACTGGTGGGGGTTTTTGCCCGGTTAGGCTTTTCTTGGCATATTTACGGAGGAGGTCATTGGCGTATCTTCCCTTACTGGTTCATAGCGATGGGACTCAGTTTACGGGCAATGTTTCAGGCCGCGTTGGCGGAGTGTGGGTTGGATTCGCGGCAGTACTCAGCTCACTCATTTCGCATAGGGGCGGCCACTCTGGCTAGTTTGTGTGGGTTCTCTGCTGCAGCAATTCAGCGGTTGGGTAGATGGGGCTCTCATCGCTACAGGTCCTATGTCAGGCCTCATTTGTTATAACATTTGTTTCTTCCTAGGTCTTCGGCCTCGCTGTGTTTGTATATTGGTTCATTCCTTCATATACTGGGCAGCACGGCGAGCGGAGGAGCGTTCCTATGGCAGAAATTTGGGGTTCCCCTATGAGGTAGCCAGGGTATGGTGGAGGGGTATTAGGGGTATGTTGTGGCAACAAGTGTACTCTGAGCTTGGGGAGTCGCAGCCTGCTGAGAGCTGATGGCGGGGGCAGGCTGCTCCGGACTCGTGACTGTCTGTTGGTAATCCCCCAACAGCTGACAGGTTGTGGACACTGGCAATAATCATTAATAAAGCTGTGGCCATTGCCCTTACCCATACAAAGGTTGTTGTGTATTTATTGGGCATCAGGTGGTTGGGGTTTGGTCTGGGTCAGCCGTCAAGTACCTCCCTGGAAACATAAGGAAGGGAGGACATGACTGCTGGCAGGGATAAGGGGATTGTGACAGACCCATCCGTATGAACTAGAATTGCTGTGTTCGTCTGTTTTGCCGTTTGCATGAATTTCCCCATTCGTATGCCTTGTTTAAGGGAATGTACTTTTCTGTCGAACGGAACTACCGAACAGACGGCCACCCAGAAGAGAAGTGTGCTGCTAGTTAACCTATTGATCCCAATTAGAACGTTGCGGTTAACCACAGACACTTCTCAATTAAAACCGAATACAGGGTGGTCGTCGTTCGTATGTCGACCATGAGGCGGCGGCCATCTTAACCATGCGAAAGACCAGCGGTGTTCGGCGGTTATTTCATGGAACTGAAAACGGACACTTTTTCAACCGAACACTGCTGAAGCCATTGACCTCCCTTCTCAATCGACAGAAGTGTGCGAACACCGGCCGTTCGGGAGATTTAAGGGCACGAATGGACTTACCTCAGATAGCCTTCCCATGGAGTCAATCGCATACCGAAGAACTGTAATAGACTTTGACTCCATGGCAATTGAACTGTGCGTATGGGATCTGAGCGCTATTCACCAATAATATGCACTCAGATCCAGGCTATCTGGGGATGTGTTACACGAATGTAATATGTTCGGTAGTTATAAAGTTATGTATTTTTATGTGTTTTATGACTTGTACTTAAAATGGCGATTTGCCTCTGCTCTGGGAGATAATTGAATTACTTCTCAATTATCTCCCGAGCAGAGGGGAGGAAACTATGATGCATGCTGGGAATATTGTGGGATTGTATGTCTGAAATGTCCCCATCTCCATCTGCTATTCCAGTCTCCCATTTGGTCCCCTAGGGGAGTGTCCACCAAGTGGGAGACCTGCATAAATATGGGCAGGTAGCCACAGTAAACTCAGTTCATGTTTTACCCTTATAGCGGAGCTTGGTCTCGTTATTGGGGGGGATTTTATTACCGGCGACTAGAGACTGCTCTTTGGAATTCTTTGCTGCTTGGAAGATATTGGCGTTCGGCTGATATTGTCAGTTCGTGTATTTGGGGCTCGTGAAGGGAAGGAGCCGTACGGGTACCGTTCGGGAGTTTGGAGTGTTCCCTGGCTGGCGGTTCGCATGCTTGTATTGTATACGCTACCAGACAACATTATTGCGAACGGGGAGCATTCACTAAACGGCGGTTTGTACATTTCATGCTGAAGGTACCGTAACAGGGATGATACCTAAGGGGATACAATGTGGCACCCTGGCATTAAGAAGGGGAGAAAGGTGAGGGTACTCACCAGTTACCGGGCAGAAGTGTAGTGGTGCTAGCTTCCCACCCACCCACAAGATGTTTTATCTTTGGATTTCGGCTGGTTGTGTGTTGTTGTTGTTTTTCTTTGTTTTGTCATAGCTCGCGGTAGTCCTGGCCAGCGAAGAGAATTGGAAGGAAGTGCCCAAGCGGCTTGGGAAGTCGCAGCCTGCTGAGAGCTGATGGCGGGGGCAGGCTGTTCCGGACTCGTGGCTTCATTTGATAGAGCTGTCTGTTGGTAATCCCCCAACAGCTGACAGGTTGTGGATGATGGCAATAATCATTAATAAAGCTGTGGCCGTTGCCCTTACCCATACAAATGTTGTTGTGTATTTAATGGGCAACAGGTGGTTGGGGTTTGGTCTGGGTCAGCAGTCAGAAATAAATGAACTTTTGCACGATTTTCAAATTTTTCAACTATCACCTGTATACACTCACAACCACAATGTCCACGATTTCACAGTTTCTGTACTGAAAGTATAGTTCATTGCTCTTTGCTCACTCACTAAAATGTTTTATTGTCAGATACACTCATAGCATTAACACAATATCTAATCTGACCTTTTTAAGCCATAGCATAGCACGGACGTTATGTACACATTCTGAGCTTGATAGACTGGTTTAAGGCAACAAAGACCCTGTTATAAATCATTGCAGGTGTATTACTTATAAAATGGGTGCCCAGAACTCTTGTTGAAGCTAAAGGATAGCCCCGTCCAATGTTGGCTATGTGATCACCTTACATTTGAGTTATAGCTTAACAGATGAATGATTAGAACATACGTCAGGTTAGGCTTCTCTGCAGATATTAACTGAAAATAATATTGTGAGATTTCAGAAACTCTGCTGCCACCTACTGGTATGATCCTGTTTTTACAAATGAAACTTTATTTTTCTCGTATAGAGTTAGTCAGTCACTGCACCTATAGTGTGAATTGTTGTGAGTTTCAAGTGAATTTCAGATGTTAAATTTAAAAAAAAATTAATTGGAATCTTTTCCAAGTCAAATGTGTTTTCATTGATTATTTAAGCCTAAAATGTTAACTTTACTTTAAATTCACTATTAATTCACACTTTGGTGTAATACTCACATAGATGCGAAATAATAAATAGCAGATTTATTCGCTAAACTCCATTTTGTAGTGAATTATGTAAATCAAATTGTGGCATTTTGCTGAATTTGATCATTTTTCCAGGTAAACTATTTTAGTCTGCAGTTTGCAATTCTGATTTAAAAGTCTACAGTTAAAATACATTTCTTAATTTTTTCAAATCACCTATTTTGGCCTAAAATTGCTTTATGAATTCTCCAAAATACGCTTCACGGCCTCAACAGGTGCTTTAAGTGGGGAAAGTCTGCTTCTGACAGCGGAGCCGGGGGTACAATGGCGCCATCCTCTTCTACTGGGGGCAACCCCAGTAAAGGCCAGTGCGATGTTGCCTTGGCTAAGCCGTTACGGTAACCAGGGTGACACACAGTTATTGTTGGACGGGTTTTCAAAAGGGTTTGGTATAGTGGTTCAAGAGAAATTGGCTAAAGAGGTTCAGCTGTATAGGATGGCGGGGCTGTTCTCACAACCTCCATTGGCGGACTTACGGATTTCCACCTTTGGGTGTAGTGTCTGAGAAAGAACTGGGTTCCGCCTGATCCATCATTTGTCATATCCGAAAGGTTCTTCGGTGAATGATGACATTGACGCGGTCCTGTGTTCTGTCTCCTACGCATCATTTGACCAGGTGGTTGAGTTGGTTCGGAAGGCAGGACGCAGGGCATTGATGGGGAAGGCTGACATGCAGATGACACTATTTTCCCTGCCTGAGTCAGGAGTCTGCCTGGTTTCATGTGCATCGCACTACGTGGAGTTTTGCCCGGACATCCTGGGTTGTTTTTTGGTACATAGGGATGGATCCGCTCTATCGCGGTTCAAATTCTTTAGATTTTTCGGATAAGCTTAACGGAGCTGGGTTTGGATCCCATGCAGTTTGGGACTCATTCCTTCCAGATAGGGGTGGCGCTGGAGACGTCCCGCTTGGGTCTAGGTGAGGAACTGGTGAAACGTATAGGTAGGTTGGAGTCAGTACAGTTTAAGTCCTACTTACAGCCCGAACACTTGGTTTAATGGGCATGTATTAGTGAGGTGGTGTTTGGTGTTATGCATTGTCACTGATTCTGTTTTCATTTTAGGTTGGGTGGCCTGGTTGGTGGGCCATTCTTACTGGGTGCAGAAGAGAGCCGCAGTTTGGAAATAAGGAGTGCAGCTGGGTTTTCCTCTGGAGTTGGTGACACTGGAGTGGTTTGGTTTTTCGGGGTTTTAGTTGGCAAGGCATTAGTGGTGAAATTTTCCAGAGGATGGCAAGGTGCACCGTTCCATATGTACTGTTAATCCACGCTAGAGGTAATGATCTGGGCATGGTCCCAAAAAAGGAATTGGTCAGATAGGTGAAGAGGGATGTGGACCGGCTACGAGAGCTAGCTCCAGGTGTGGTGGTGGTGTGGTCCAAGATGGTTCCTCAGTTTCACTGGCGACATGCCAAGGACCTGGCCGCGGTGGCTTGGTGTCGGGGACAAATCAATAAAATGATGACGGTCTTTATTAGGCATATAGGTGGAGTGGCACTGAGGCACGGGGAATTGGGTTCCGGGTACTTCAGGAGGGATGGTGTACATCTTTCGGATGTGGGGTGTAACCTATTTATTTTGGGCCTTCAGGAGGGCCTTCTACAGGCCTTGTTTAGGTGTGGTGGGGGGCACTCAGGAGCTTTAGGTGTCACGTCCTGAGCTGTGGCGGGGAATGGCCAGGTTAAATCAGGGGGTAGATGGAGGAGGAAGTGGGCATCCTGAGGTTTAGTGTGGATTAGGCAGTGTTACACTTGGTTGGCAGGTTCGAGTCCCTCGGTGGCTCCGAACCTGGGGGTGTAGTGGTGTCTTGGTACACCCCTACAACTTAATCTGGTGGAAATGTGGTCATATTGGATGGCCACTTTCTGTGTTAATATGTTATTTATTGTTATTGTGGGGTCATTGCCAGGGGTATGTTATGTATATGGGGGAATGTTGGCTTTAATAATATTTGTTGGCAATGACCCTATTTGTTATTCCTTAATTAACTAATTAATAAAGCTGTGGACTAATATTTCCAACAGTGTAACCTGTGTCCGTGTCTTAATGGGTTCAGGGGAAGGTTAGTGCATATGCCGGTAAATCCGACTGTGCGCCTGTCAAGTGTAACCGCTGCAGGTTCCCCTATTTACCACTATAATGTCTTAAAGCATAGAATTTAGAAAGGCTAACCATACACATATCTTAACCATGATATTATATAGTTAGTAAGAGTTCCTCTATTTAAAATATATAAATAATCAGGGCTGCCGTGTCCTATAGGTTGATTAGGCGGCCGCCTAGGCCGCTGCTAAAAGGGGGCACGGGCTGCAGCTTTACTGCTGTTTGGGCCTCCCCTCTATGTGGACTTAATTATGTATAGTGTGTGCCGCTGGTTGATGGCACAGGGCGCTAGGGAGCACTTACATAGCTGCAGACTAGCGCCTGGTGTCATCAACCTTTACACGCAAAAATAACAGAGAGTCGCCTCCCAAACCCATCCTAAAATGCCGGGAGCGCATGGGTGCATATTGCAATCGCTCCCGCCCCTTTCCCTGTACTTGGGGTCAAGTGGGTGGGAGGTTAGCAAGGACGGGACTGAGAGAGACTCAAGCCAGCTAGGCGCAATCCAGAAGTTTGGGACCCACGGAGAGAAAATTAATAGGGACTTAATAGTGTGTGTGTGTGTGTGAGTGAGTGTGTGAATGTGTTTTAAAGAGTGTGCTAACCTGCTTCAGTCAGTATGTGTGTGTCTGCTTGAGTTAGTGTGTGTGTGTCTGCTTTGATCAGTGTGTGTGCTTGGGTCATTGTGTGTGTGTGTGCTTGGGTCATTGTGTGTGTGTCTGTATGGGTCAGTGTGTGTGTGTGTTTGCTTGAGTCAGTGTGTGTGCTTAGGTCAGTGTGTGTGTCTGCTTGAGTTAATGTGTGTGTGTGTCTGCTTGAGTCAGTGTGTGTGTGTTTGGATCAGGGTGTGTGTCTGCTTGGATCAGTCTGTGTCTGCTTGGATCAGTGTGTGTCTGCTTGAGTCAGTGTATGTGTCTGCTTTAGTCAGTGAGTGTGTGTGTGTGTGTCTACATGGGTCAGTGTGTGTGTGCTTGGGCCAGTCTTTGTGTGTGTGTGTGTCTGCTTGGACTAGTGTGTGTGTCAGTCTACAAGAAGTCTGCTTCTGTCGGCGGAGCCGGGGGTGCAATGGTGCCATCCACTTCTGCTGGAGGCAACCGTAGTAAAGGCCAGCGCGATGTTGCCTTGGCTAAGCCGTTACGGACCTACCTTAACTTGGCAAAGATACGAGGCCATAACTTGGTCATTTCACATTGGAACATCTTATCAATGTTTAGATTAAAACGAAAGGGTGCACATGACATGGGAAATTCCCTGACTTGGGGGAATTACACTAACCTAGGATAAGATGGCGTCCTAATGTCTGAACACCATATTTACTGAATATGGGTAAGAGGTCATTTAGTAAAGAAACATTATATGAAAAACAATATGTTCCATTTCTAACAACTTGTCAGTTTGCAAAAACGCTTAAAGACAAAGTACACAGTTTACAAAATACAACATTTATTTTTAAAACATGTAATATTTGCATTTGCCCATAATGATAGCACCATCTGTTGGTAGCTATATGCACTACCTGAATACCAAGGCTTAATTTGCATATTCTGGTAGATTTGCATATTATGAATTATGCAGGCAGAATAGATATTTGTGTTAATTATTGTCTTCCCCACCCCTTCATCTATAGGTTATTATGGTATTAAAAGTTCTTGTATTGCCACACAACAATATCGTATCTGGAGATCCAACTCCCAACAGACACCACCACTCTATATGCAAAAAACTATACCCCACTACTACTAAAACCTCACAAAGATCTGACCAAATGGAGGTCACTGGGGTCCTCTTGGCTGGGACGCGTCGCCTCCATCAAAATGAACCTCTTCCATCACATACCTCTTCCAAAACCTGCCGATACCAATCCACAAACAAGACTTCAGGGCCCTACAGTCGGCAATCGACACATTCATCTGGAATGGGCCCAAACCATACGTACCCAAGAAACACGGAGGCCTGGGCCTCCAGAACTTTACACATTACCATTCCGCTGCCCACTTGGTGCAATTACAGCAGTGGCACGTCCCACCTGGGGAAAAACGATGGGTGGACCTGTAACACCTAATTTTTGACTTGGACCATCCGTCCCTGTACATGTGGACACCCAAACACATAGGCCCCTACCCCCTCCAACTGCACCCGCGATCACCCATGCACTCGACTTTTGGGACAAACTGAGGGACAAATTCGAACTGTCCTCCTTTCTCTACCACATAACCCCCATCTGGAGGAACAAGCTATTCCCACCGGGACTCACTCCCAAGCACTTTGCCCAATACGAACACAGAGATATATCCCGACTGGGGCACCTATGCCTAAATGACGAAATCATACAATTTACAGACATCAAAGAGTCATCCTCCCTCACAACCTTCGATCATTTTCGATACATACAACTGCGCAGCTTCGCAATAACCCCAATCATAAGACAAGCCGGCACAGCTCAGCTCAACCGCTTTGAACGAGATTGCGCAAAACATCCCAATAGACAAGGACAAATCTTTGACATGTACGTGACCATTGCCACCCATCACACACAACTATCCCTTTCCATACATAGGAGCATGGGAGGCAGACCTAACCCCCCGGAAGACACAACAGACTGGTCAGACATCTGGGAGGCAACAGCATCCACACACGGAGCAGGCCTACAAAATGCTATTCCGCTGGTATCTGACCCCACAACGCCTAGCCACAATGCAACAAACACCATCCAACACCTTCTGGAAACAATGCGGGGAGATGGGGATGTTCGTCCACTGTTGGTGGATGTGCGCGAAACTCCAACCACTCTGTCAGAGCATCACACAACTGATCACCAAAATACACCAGAGTAGAGAACAAACTCACAGCTTGAATTGCTCTGACAACACGTAGAGACATAGCAGAGCTATGGTCCACAACTCACATCCCGACACAAGAAATGATCACAAGGAAAATAATAGCTTGCAAATGGATAAACTTACAGCACAAGTACACGATTCACCCAAACAGTTCCACAAAATATTGGACCCGTGGCTAGAAGGAGACATGACCATACCATGGTAACCTCACTAGGAACACGTTGCACCCTCCCTCCCCCATCAAGGATTAACCAAGACACCGGCACTTACATTCTCAAATACAAATATACATAACTTACCCACCTCTACACCACACACGCCAACCCACAATTCCAATAAAGGGGATTGCGCACCAGGTGGCTCGCGGACCGTGACACCATTCCCTACGCCCAAAACCCCAAAACCCAACACCTACACCCAGCCCCACCCCTCATCCTGTACAAACACAGAGCAGGACACGGACTGAAAAGACACACAAGAGCACAAAGACAGACGAAGCTTACCAACAAGGAACAAACAAACCGAAGACAACTCTTGTAAACTCTTGTATGTTATACCACCGATACAAGCAAATGTAACACTAAATGCGAAAGTGTACCCTGCGATGGTACTAAACCTTACTGAAAGGCATTGCACCAATTCTTTCCTACCCCCCTCCTTCTTTTTCCTTCTGTACCCCCTTACCCTCTTATCTGAATTTATGCAAAACCATACAAATAAAGAATTTAAAAAAAAAAAGTTCTTGTATGTTTTCCGATATGGTTTTTCCTTTTTTTTTGGTTATTTGTAATATATTGAGTTGTCACAGCAAATTCGATGTAATGAGCATATGGGCTAGTCCTGAGTAAAAAAAAGGAAGACATGTGTACTAGTTCCTTTTGGCGATGTGTGTCTTGTTTCTGTTTTGTTCAGGGATCCCAGTAACATAGTATTTGGACATGTTGGCTGTCTGTGTGGTCCCTAAAGCCCGGGACAGGTCAAAAAGAGCTACGCCTGAGAATCGCAAATGCCTTTATAGAGTTAATCATATTATAGGTAGAAGTGGAGATACCTGCCTGCAAGGAGAGCTGATGGGGAATAGGCAGATAGGACAATACCTTCCTGGAAGAGGAAAGCTGCAGCCTGGTTGGTTGGAGAGCCTTGGAGAGACCCTATAATATAACTCTATTCAAGCTTTGGTGACTGGGTCTGAAGTACTCCAGACTCCTCTGTGACAGCGAGGAAGCAGACTTGGCGGAGGTACTTGGTCGGAGTACAGGAGCTCAGTCACAAATGTACTACAGAGTCTCAAATCAATGTGCAGTGTGGATAGAGCTCCAGAGTAATGAAATGAGAGAAAGTTGAAAAACATCAAGGCTGAGGAGCTTTGATTTAATGTATCCTTATAAAATACGCTCTCCATGGAATCTGCCCACACCTCCAATGTAGCGGCATCTTTTCACTATATTCTTACCTCGGTTGGCTAGTTAAACCTAACAAGTTATCATCTCACTGGTGGTGTCCAGTAGAATGCCAGGCCACCATAGAAAGGTGTAGGATCGGTATTGATTATGAATAAACACCAGGTGGTGTGAAAAATATCAATGTATTCATCTTTTTTCTGTCGGTTTGTTTATTTTCCCTGTTTCATTGGCTGTTCTACTTGGAAATGTTGGTATATTTGTCTTTTTATCTTGGCCTACATGCTTAGCACCTGAACCACTATGACCTATTTAGTAGTTATGGTGCAAACCTTCTAGGTTTTTAGCAATATTCAGCTCCTCTGCTCGTATTTGCATGACGTAAAAGCGAACTTCCGCATAATCTGTCCAGCCTTGAACAGCAATGATAATCTGTGAAGATTGAGGACAGATTAGCTATCAACCCATCTTTCCTGTCCAGATTAACTGAACTTTAGGTGCTGGGTAAACCACGGTTTCTGTCTAACTTCTTGAAAAAAGTTTGATACAAACTGCGTGGAAGGCAGCCAAAAACATATTATGTAGTTATGGTGCTTAGAGTGCCCCTTTAATCCTCAGATATCCAAGACTATTCTTTATTTATCTCCATATCTCTGTGTAATTTGCAGCACTGGTAAATTCTAAACTCCAAGGGAAAATTGAAGAGTCTATAATTACAGAGAATGTCTGTTACCTGTGCCGGGTGGTTTATATGGAAATTACAAGGTACTTTGCTGAGAGTGACAGAGTCTTGGTGAGCTATGCTTTTTTTCCAGCGCCAGCTGTTTTGTTTTCCTACATATGATTATGTTTACATAGCACAAACTGTGTTTGTAGCACTTTACAAGATTACAGTACAGAGAAAATAATATACTACAAAAAAAAGACGAATATGTACTGGAGTAAATACAAGGATAGCTTCTGAACGGATTTATACAGGGAACCAGAAAGGTACGATGCTTACAGTCTAATGCAGAGTAAAGAGACCAGACAGGGCCAGATTTAGATCTCAGGTGTATACAGGCTATGGACTCCAATGCGACTCTCCAGAAAAATAAATTTTTCTGTTGCTTGATTCATGGCTTGACGGGTGCATGAGAGTAAGGGAAACACATATCTTATTTCTGATCCCCTCAAATAAAAAATTGCAATGACAATGTAGCAAAATGAAAATACCATAATTACTCAAATCTAATGCGCACATTTATTGGCAAAATAAAATCTCCGAAATAATATATTAATGCTCATTAAATGTGACGGCACGTTAGAATCGAGTACAAACAGCCCATTAAATTTGAGTATGATTCCAGTACGAAACCAAAAGGAAAGCACGGCGCAATAAAGACAAACCGCGCATGCGTACCTCTCTCTCTCGTTACCTAGTTGCCCCTAAATTTACGACCTACTCTGACAACGGCTGACGGAGATACAACTGGCATATGACGCGAATTTGCCTGGGCGAAATTCGCATTAGCATTGCTGTGACAGCTTTGCAAGACTTGGTTTCTGTGTACAGTAAAGCTGTAGCTCGCACTCGCAGGAGTAGTATCTTTTTGTACAAAAAAAAACATTTGTCTTCCCGGTTTCAAAATTTTAAATGCGCGTTTGATTCGATGGCACATTAGATTTGAGTAAATATGTAAAAAAATATAAAAATATATAAAAATTGCAAGTTTGTAGTCAAGGTAGGTGTCGCTTGCAGGGAGGTGACTGTAGGCAGCTGGTTAGTAAATTTACTGGCCATCCTGTCCTTGCCTGTGTCTCCTAAACTGTTTTCCAATTACAAATCCCAAGATTCTCCATGAGCCTGTGACGCAGAGCCATATGTGTAGTAAATGATCATAGGCACCAATGTTATCTAAATGTAAACAATAACTAATATGTGTATGTTATAAAATGTATGTGTGTTATTTTCAAGATATTGACCAATGTGAAGTTTATTTCAGGGGACAGAGTCCCTTTTATATATTATTTGGAATAACGGAGTGGTATTCATATTAAGCATGTTGTGTAAGACATGTATGAAAAGTGGAACTTGATGGACTAAGCAATTATGTAGCTATCCTGGTTTAGAGCAATATTACAGAGCCTGTAGCACTGAGAGCATAAATATAGATAGCATGCCATGCAAAACGTCTTCAGGATAATTCAAGGTATTACAGTAATGAAATACCACAAAGTCACGATAAAAAAAGGTGTGACAGGTGGGATAGGGGCACTCTGTGCGCACCCTCTCACCTGTTACCTGGGGAAGTCTGTCCCCACCACCCTCCTGTTGGCGTGCTTCTGCAACAGTGATAAACGGGGTTTTCAGTCGCTTTGATATTATTTTAACCTTTTCCCTGCTAATGTCATTTGGATATTCGATCTCTTACTGATGTAGACTGCTTTCTGCTTTATTGTCACAGCATCGTCTGAAGCCTGACCAATGATCCTTATCCTTATCTTTTATTCAGAGATAAATGCTCTTTATTTTATTGTCTCATAGGTACCGACCAATGGTCAGGTAATTGTATTGCATATGGGAAAAATTTTTAGCAGTGCAAATATGGGTCTTCCACAGCAGAGGGGTTGAATGTTTTAACATTACATTTTAATTTTCAGACAAAATATTTTTTAAAGCATTATTACTGCAGCCTCTATTTAGAGCAATATTGTTTCGAAGCTGTAAAAGTGGAGCAGTCAGTAGGAACATTCTATTGGTTTCCATGGTGATTGCATCGATTTTAGAATGTTGCCCCAGCATTACACATAGCCTCCAATGTGAACTTACTTGGAAGCCGTGGGACAGATTGAAAAAGAGTAATTAAAAGAGAGCAATCTTCCTAGTTTCCTAGATAATGTAAAGTTTACTTTATTTGAAAATATGTATTTGTGAGTTGTGGAAAAAAAAAAAAAAAATGTAGAATGTACACTCCTTTATCCTGCATCGTGGTCTCTCCATCTTAGCTCGCTGTCATTGTTAAGAACTCTGTCCTTTGCTCATGGCAGTCAGCATAGAGAAAGTTTCCCCCTGGACAACTTGGGAAGGGGGAGCATGACTAATGCCATGTCTTGTGGGCTGGATTAAAATGGATATTAATGTTGCAAACTGGATGGTTTTGAAAGATGCTAGGGAAGGAGACTTACCAGTCAGCAGAGTCAACGAACAGGAGCAGACTGACTTGACTGCTGTCTAGATGGAATGTCCCCAACAAACCCGTTGCCCCCAATGACACACAGGAGACCATGTTAAGTTGGGTAAGGGCAACAGCCACAGCTTTATTAATTATACATGCCAGCAAAACCATACTGTCAGCTGTTGGGGTGATTACCCAACAGACAGGTCTATCCCAACAAACCATGAGTCCAGAGCAGCCTGCCTCCGCCATCAGCTCCCAGCAGGCTGCGACTCCCCAAGCCTCCTCGGCAACTTCTTCACGTCTGCCTGCGCTGGCCAGGACTCCCGCCCGATGATGACCTTCCTTCACGCCTCTTGTCGTCATCGTGCCCCCCGCCGACAGTGCAGCCTCGATCCCACTCTGTAAACCTGCATTAAAACTATCCAACCCGATGGCATTTAAGTGTACCCTGTCCTTCCTCATCAGATCCAGGTTATCACCCTCAAGCTCCACATGTTGGACGACTACCCCACCTATACGAAGTACGAACTTCCCCACTGCAATATTAAGCTTGCGCCGGCTCTTCTCCAATCCGCGTGAGTACGGTAGCATGCGCCAGCACGGCCTGGAGACCACCTCTTGGCCATTTTGTATCTATCTATACCCCACCCCTCTGCTTAGCCTCCCTCAAGACTCCTTAGCCTAGCATCAGTCATGTCCCCCCTTCCTTATGAGTCCAGGGAGGGGTCTTTCTGTGGGCTGTAGACTCTCCTGGGAAGTGAACAAAAAACAAAAATATACACTTTAGTGAAGAGGTTTTCCTTGATCCTCTGTGGCACCTCTTACAGGATCTCTGCCTTACCCTGGATCTCGGACACGGGCCTGGTGAGGCTCTTGCAGGCCTACCAGGCATCCCATGGTCATGGGGCGCTTGAGGCCCTGGTGTTTGGAGTGGAGCCAGCTTCGGGGAACACAGCAGGAGATTTAGCGGATGGCAGTGTGGTTTCTGGCAGGGCCAGGCGGTCCAGGTCTTTGTCGCGCTTATCACAAAGTCCGGTGAGGCACGGAGAATGGAAACGGCAGTGGAGCCAAGGTATCGCCGGCAGTGGATCCGAGGTCGAGGCATCGCCAGCGGTGGCCGCGTAGCGCAGGAGAAGGTCCGGACGAGGTTGCGTGGCTGATGCCCAAGATGGTGGCGGCGACAATAGTGGAGAACACGCCGGAAGATCACACAGTCCGCGTGAGTCTTTTCTAACTACATGGGAAGTGACGGCATCACACACTCTGCACGGCATGTGTGCACCGGAAGTGGGCATTGGAATGCAAGGCGTGTATGGGACGTTTGCACAACTACAGGAACTAGAGCGCAGGAGTGGCAGGAGTAGACAGCGGTCCAGCTTGGCAGGCGGCTGCAGGTTCCTGGACTCTGAATCAGAGGACCACAGTTTACAGTCTGGATCGGAGGAGAAGATGGCTGCAGTTCCAGTGGTGTTGCCTGGGACTTCTAACAGTGAGGATAGTAGGGGGTCAGGAGAACACAATTATGAAAGGAGATAGGTCCCTTCAGGGGCAGGGGGATGTCGTACACTTGTTATGGTCTGTCTTGGGCTCCCGGGGGGGGATGTTTCTCAGCCAGTGTCCTCTCCTATGGCCAAGGTCACTTCCCCTAGTCGTGAGGGTTCTGTCCCAGGGCTGGGGCGTTCATGCTGCCAGCTGTCACCATTGGGTATGCATCTCCCGCTGGAGGTCCAGGAAAAAATCCTGAAGGGTGAGTTTTTCGATTTGTTCCTCCTGACCAAGAATCCGTGGACAGGCCACAGCATGGGACATGGAAGACGGCGAAAATGGTAAGCAGATTCCGCGTACCTTTGGAAATTGGCTTCAAGGGTTTAGTATTTATTCGAGCATAGTATCGCGGAGCTACCTTGAGAAGGCCCCGGCATTGTTCGGGTACTTGGATCTGATTTGAGGGGCTTATAAAACCTATGGGGGGCAATGCTGGTTCAGCTATGACCAGCAGTTTCGCTAGAAGATGGCAGTAAGTCAGGGGATGGATTTTGGAGTGCCGGATGGCAGCTTACGCCTGTTGCTGATGACACCCTATAGGCCACCCCCTTTCCAGGGGGGCAATACAAGGGAGTTTGCTGGCTCTTTAATGAGAACCACTGCAGGTGGTACGGCGCCTACAGATTTAGGCATCAGTTAGCCCATTGTTGAGGAGCACAGCCAGTGTCACAATGCTCCAATAAAGTTAAGCAGGGTCTTCGTCCATCCAGAGAGAAAGTTCCTAGGTCGGAGGATGCCGGTGAGCGTGGTAAGGATAAGTCTGTGACTAGACTGCTATTCTAATCGGTGAGTGGCACAATGGTGGTAATATGTTGTGACGAGAGCAATCTCGCCACATTGCATTGGAGAAGCCTGGTTGCACGCCTGCTGCCTTTGAATTTTGGCGCCCATGTTAAAAGACTTTGTTTCCCCTGCAGAAAAGACTTAACCGCACGAATGACTGGACCACCTGGGAGCTGGAGTGTGCCGGCAATTAGCCTCCCAGAAGCTGCGGTTAACCGCAGCTTAATTGACAATTACTGGGTGGCCGCCATTCGTATACCGAACACGAAGTCGCGGCCATTTTAAACATGCGACCGCACAGCGGTATTCGACACCTAACTCATGGAACTAAAAACGGACACAGTTTGGCGCGAACACTGCTGAAGCCGCCGACCTCCCTTCTTGTTCGGCGGGAGTGCATGAACAGCCCGGTGTTCGGGAGTTTTACCTGACTATGTTATACCCCAGATAGGAATCCCATGGAGCCCATTCGTATGAGAACTGACGTTGTAAAGACTTTGGCTCCATGGCGCTTAAACTGTATTCGTGTGGTCTGAGTGCCATTCACTTAATAATGTGCGCTCAGACCTGAGCTATCTGGGGATAGGTTAAATGTATGGTTTTAATGTTATGTGTCTTGCATGGTATATTTTAATAGTAATTCTTGTGTTAGTATCCCCACGTGCATAATGGTGATTTGCCTTTGTCCTGGGAGATAATTGAATTACTTCTCAATTATCTCCAGGGCAGAGGGGAGGAAGCCAGAATGCATTGTGGGAATATAATGTGACTGTGTGTCCTATTTGTCTACTTCTCTGTCTTTTGTCACAGTCTCCCATTTGGTCCCCTAGGGGAGTGTCCACCAGGTGGGAGACTTGCATAAATACTGGGCAGGTAGCCCTCATTAAACAGACCACTGCTTGACCCTCAACACGGAGCTCTGTATCGTCTTTGGGGAGATTTACTTTATGCTGTTAGAGACTGATTGCCAGGAGTGTAAGCCACTTGGG